ATAATGCATATATGCACAGTTTCGGTTGAAAACCGAAATAATGCATATGAAAAAAACCGAAATAATGCATATATGCACAGTTTCGGTTGAAAACCGCAACAATGCATATTAGAAAAACCGAAATTATGCATATGCACTCTTTCGTTTGAAAACCGAAATAATGCATATGAAAAAAACCGAAATAATACATATATGCACAGTTTCGGTTGAAAACCGAAATAATGCATATGAAAAACCCGAAATAATGCATACATGCACACTTTCGTTTGAAAACCGAAATAACGCATATGAGAAAAACGAAGTAATGCATACATGCACAGTTTCGGTTCAAAACCGAAATAATGCATATGACAAAAACCGAAGTAATGCATACATGCACAGTTTCGACTCAAAACCGAAGTAATGCATATGACAAAAACCGAAATAGTGCATACATGAAAACGAACTTCTATCTGAGTAGGCGGCCTTCGGCCGCGCTCAGGGATTATAACCCTTACTAAGTAGAATTCTCCTTTCTGTGTTGCCGGAAAAGGGGGCCGGAAGTATTTTTGCGCAGAACTTCGTTCTGCGTAGGCGGCCTTCGGCCCTGCTTAGGGACTATAATCCTTACTAAGTAGAATTCTCCTTTCTGTGTTGCCGGAAAAGAAGGGCGGAAGTATTTTTGCGCAGAACTTCTTTCTGCGTAGGCGGCCTTCGGCCCTGCTTAGGGACTATAACCCTTACTAAGTAGAATTCTCCTTTCTGTGTTGCCGGAAAAGAAGGGCGGAAGTATTTTTGCCCAGAACTTCTCTCTGCGTAGGCGGCATTCGGCCGCGCTTAGGGATTATAACCCTTACTAAGTAGAATTCTCCTTTATGTGTTGCCGGAAAAGGGGGTCGGAAGTACTTTTGCGCAGAACTTCTTTCTGCGTAGGCGGCCTTCGTCCGCGCTTAGGGATTATAACCCTTACTAAGTAGAATTCTCCTTTCTGTGTTGCCGGAAAAGGGGGCCGGAAGTATTTTTGGGCAGAACTTCTTTCTGCGTAGGCGGCCTTCGGCCGCGCTTAGGGATTATAACCCTTACTAAGTAGAATTCTCCTTTCTGTGTTGCCGCAAAAGGGGACCGGAAGTATTTTTGGGCAGAACTTCTTTCTGCGTAGGCGGCCTTCGGCCGCGCTTAGGGATTATAACCCTTACTAAGTAGAATTCTCCTTTCTGTGTTGCCGGAAAAGGGGGCCGGAAGTATTTTTGCGCAGAACTTTTCTCTGCGTAGGCGGCTTTCAGCCGCGCTTAGGGATTAAAACTCTTACTAAGTAGAAGTAAATAATTCATATTAGAAAAAACGACATTATCCATATGCACACTTTCGTTAGAAAACCGAAATAATGCATATAACAAAAACCGAAATAATGCATGCATGCACAATTTCAGTTCAAAACCGAAATAATGCATATGGCAAAAACCGAAATAAAGCATACATGCACAGTTTCGGATGAAAACCGAAATAATGCATATGTGAAAGACGAAGGTATGCATACATGCACAGTTTCGGTTGAAAATCGAAATAATGCATATAACAAAAACCGAAATAATGCATGCATGCACAGTTTCGGTTGAAAACCGAAATAATGCATATGAAAAACCCGAAGGAATGCATACATGCACAGTTTCGGTTGAAAACCGAAATAATGCATATGAGAAAATACCGAAATTATGCATATGCATACTTTCGTTTTAAAAGCGAAATAATGCATATGAAAAATAACGAAGTAATGCATACATGCACAGTTTCGGTTTAAACCCAAATAATGCATATGGTAAAAACCGAAATAAAGCATACATGCACAGTTTCGGTTGAAACCGAAATAATGTCTAAATGCACAGTTTCCATATGCGCAATTTCGGTGCCCCATTTTAAAAGGTGAGGCGCGTCTGCAAAGACAAAAACTCTGCCACCGTCACCGCTTGGACTCGAAAACCATGTCTTTTCTGTATAAATAAGAGTAAAAAAATAACAGTTAATTATTACAATTAATGAAAGCACCTAATTGTTTTAATTGCTTATAGTAATGCAAATTTAACTGCTCTTAATTCTATAATTACCCGTGGACACCTCTAATTCCCTCCAAAGAGCTCGGTTGGCACTTCCCATATCGGATACGATGCCAACGACGGGATAGCCTGCATTTTCTAACTGGGAAATCAGGCCTTTCAGAATGCTTTTTGTCATTTTACAGTCGAAAGCGTAAAAAACGGGTTGTTTCCAAGATTGCTTGAGTCCTCTTGCTATAGCCATTTGCACATATCTTGCAGGCTTCTTCATGGTGTTCGTAAGTGGGTCGTGCACAAATGATGGGGCAACTGCCATCTCATCGAAGACAATGAGGCACACTCTGTCGACCAACTCCATGTGCTTGCCGCGTGCATTTCGTTTAAAACGAATTTTAAAATGCCGTCGTGAAACTTCAGTCGCTGAAGCCATCTCGACAAAGTGGACGCCGAGGGCAACGGTAAACCTAGGACCTGCTGCATGTAATGGTATTGCCCACGCAATATCTTCATATACCCAATGTATATTTTCAGCAGGGTTTCTTAATTTACGTACTTGATTTTCTGTGAAATTCAAGTTTATACCACTTCTGAAAGCTTTCAACTCGTTGGCTTCCTTCATCTGCGCAGCCACCTGCGCTTTTAGCATTGTTAAATTTTCAAGTTGCATCGTAACAGCGAGGTTAATACTATAAAAACGTAAATATGTTGGCATTAATATTTGTTTATATGTATGCATTTTTTTCATACTCGGTTTGTGTTGAAGCATCCTGTTTTGAAGAGATTATGGGAACTGGTGCTTTCCAAGAGGATAAATATTCCACCCTCATCGGGATGGCATCCTTTCGCAACCTTTTGCGTTTAGCACCAGGTTCCATATCGAAGTCACATTTATCAAAATGTAATTCGCAAACTCTGGAATTGGGTTTAAGTTCAACACACCCGGCCTCACTCCATTTTTTTCTTTTAATTTCTTCTTGAGGAACTTGAAAACGACTTACACCTGCACCTGGCCATGTCGTATGGCACAAAGCGCAATTTACTCTTGACATATTCTATTAAAAAATAATACGTCAATAATTAAAATAATAATTAGTTCATTTAATCCTCTAGAAGGATAAAACATATTCACTAGGTGTTGTATACTGTCGTATTGTTGCATGTCGTAAGCATAAAAGTCGTATTATGAAACTTCACACCGTTAAATAATAAAATAATCCAATCAATAAAAGCTAAAGTAATGAACCATTTTTGGAGTTCCCACTTAGAGCTAGATTGTGATATATCTTCCAGAGGGTTAACAACTAGTATACAACTGTAGACTAAAAATCAATAAAGCTATGAAACGATTCTTTCTACGTGACAAATAAAATGTTTGTTTGTTTTGTGTATTTATATACAGTATCGGTTAATACCATAGCTCCCCGTTTTCAAAGTGAAATAGTTTGCCACTTATGTATGTTTATGTATGTTTCATTCTTTATTCTACAAAATCTCAGAACGTGTACATGTTTACATTTTAACAAAAGATCTACTTTATGTAAAATCTTACCACGAAAGAAGTTTACAGCTCAGAAGTTCAAATTACGTTACAATAGGGTGGCACAATACAGCAGGAACAGCCTTCAAACGCGGTTGTTGAATCACCTACACCCAGAAAAAGGTTTAGTTATAATAACCAAGATTTGGTTATAGTGATCAAGTGGCATAGTTGGATAGTTGGCGAAATAAATATATAGTTCACGAAAGTCTGCAGTTTACTTAAGACTTCTAGTTGGGACAAATGTATATTTGTTAATAATTACAAAACGACTACCTTGATTGGACAATATTGTTAGTTGAATAAAATCATTGTTGAGCAAATATAAACAATGCTTTGGTTGATACAAGTTTTCAATTAATTTTGTGAACTTGCTGTAGACTTGAATCAGCTAACCGTTTATTATTGGGAAAAAAGTTTCAGTTTGACACAAATAAAAATTTACTCGATGTTTGTTGTGTTTACTTTCTTCTTTTAATTGCATATATTAAGCATAAAAATACGTACATATTTACATAAGTTAGTTACTAAAGTAAATAATACACATGTATATGGTGGTAAGAATTTCCTAAAAAACAACGATGAAACAGGAACAGTCGTGCGAAAACCCAGGTCAATATCTGCTGGAAGTATACTGCTTTGCTTTTTCCTTAGCTAAATAGACACTTTCAAATTATAATTCACATGAATTATATATCCACTGAAAAACCCCGGTTGGCATCAAACTTTATATTTTTAATTAAACTTTAAACTATGCGCGCACCGAAACAACTCGCGATGATAGCAAAACTGAAACTGAGACAAACAAGTATGGGCATGTCATAGCACACATGGCGCAGCGATCGACATGCCATAGCTTACTGAGCGCTCTGGGACCACATGCGTGTTTCACCCATATACGAACAGCGGTAGCGGAGCAATGATTTCCACGCACAATGCAATGGTCGGCATACTAGCGCATTCAAACGATTCAATAAGTGGGACTGTGTGCATTGCTGAGCTGGCGGTCTTCGTATGTGCTCAGAGAACGCTCAGCATTCTTTAGGGGTGGCTCACAAGCATGAATATGTTCCACTCTCAAACCAAATCGTGGTTGCCTGAACTAAGATTTGGTAACTATGACTAAACCACGTGTTGAAGGAAAGCTTATCTGCATTAGCAGAGCTTAATAATATCCTTTTATGAACCATACGTTAAGTTGAATGGAATTTGTAGAAATATGCTTCAAAGAAATATTTATTAGTATTAACCAAACCCTTCAACTAAATTAACGATTTGTTACAACCTAGATGAATATTAGAAGCTTTAATATATTTAGTTAAAATTACCAATCGATGGTAATAGTTCCCAATCCTTGGTAACAGTTCCCAAATATTGTCAAAATTCGGGAACTAAATATCTTTAGTTGTCGAAACTAATCCTTTTTCTCTGTGTAACAATAAGGTGACACAACGCAGCGGGATCAGCACAATGTAGAGCTGGTTGAACAAAGTGAAAGTTTTATAGAAATGTATGAATTTTATTCACAACACACATACTTAGGTCGGTGTTATGCAGAAATTTTGTTTGGCAAACTGCGTGAAATTGTTGTTGCAGCAAACTCGGAGAGAGAGAGTTTGGTGCCTCTCACAGCAAACTAAATTTGTTGGGCCAAACAGATGAAAAATAAGTGTTGCCATACACAAAAATTTGCTGGAAAATACAGTATTGCCATACCGATATGGTAGATGTTGCAGTTATACACAAAACATGTTTATTCCAGAAGAAAACGCGCTGAGTATATGTACTGCTTACGCAAAATTTTCGATATAAAGATATTTAATATCCGCGCGAATATAAAAGTTATTAAAGTGAGTATTTGTATTACAAAAACATTATTACTTATTTGTGTGTCGTAAGAAAATGACTAAGCAAAGAAATTTGTGAAAATCTAAAGTGGGTCAATTAATTTTTATAATTATAGAAATGTCTATATCCTGGAGCCGAGCGTTAACGGTGTCTTTGGAACACAAAGCATTGCCATTATAGTGACAGGGATAAGCGAAATGCGGCAATAAATGGAATTCACGACGTTTTGGTGACGAAAGATCCCCTTGTGACCCCAAAAAACATTAGGGAAAAAATTCAAGGACTACGCTCACAATTTCGGAGAGAAGTGAGGGCAATTGAAGCCAGTAAACGGAGTGGATGCGGCGCAGCAGATGTGAAAACACCCAAAATGTGGCGTTACGAGCTGCTCCAGTTTCTACGTCCAAACGTAGAAATAAGGGAGACGCAGGATAGTTTAAATGATGAAAACAGGCCACAAACGGTAAGATTTTGTGACATAAAGTTTTCTAAGAGTAATTTGTAATTTTTCCAATAGAGATACGATACGGACAATAATATAAACACGGATAACGCCTCGTTGAGGGACGAACCGTCGGTAAGTTATATTTTCACGATTCGTAGCCGAAATGCTGAAAAACGTTGAATTCATTAAAATAAATTAAAAAGGCTCAACCATATTTATTTAAAAATTCAGGCATTATATTTAATTTGCATAACTTTTATTGTTGTTCTAACCACTCAAGCTTTCCTTCATTATTAAAATATTCAAGAAAAGAATTTCTTATTGCTTCAGGTGAGAGATTTCTTTCATATGATATTGCATTAGAATGCATTGTATCCATAAATGGTTCACTCAAAGAACTTATCCTATTACTTAAAATAAAGTTGTGAAGTACACAAAACGCCTGTATAATGGTCTCAATAGTTCTTACGTTTTGTAAGTTGATTGGTTTCTTCAGTATAGGGAATCTTTGAGAGAGTATGCCGAAAGCTCTTTCACTTGTTTGACGTGCCCTGGACAATCTTTTATTGAAAATAATTTTTTCACGCACACTTGTGAGGTGTGAGTAAGGTTTCATCAGGTGTCTTTGTAGTGCAAAAGCATTATCGGCAACCACGACATAAGGCAATAATCTTTGGTTCCCTATAACTTTGTCTGGTGGAAAGTATGTATCCCCATTATTCAACACTCGCTGTAAAGACGAATGGCTTAGGATAGCTCCATCATGAGTTCTACCATTTGCGCCCACGTTTATATAAATAAATTTGCAATTTGCATCCACCAGTGCTAGCAGTACAATGCTATCAGTTCCTTTGTAATTGTGATAGTAAGAGCCATCTGATTGAGAAGCGTAGAAGCTTACATGCTTTCCATCTAAAGCTCCTAAACAAAGAGGAAACTGCCATTTCCGCTCAAACTGATCCGCAATTGATTTCCATTCATTTGGAGACTCGGGGAACTAAAAATAATAACAATTATTTTATTTTCAGGTTTCATCATCTTGCAGAAAACGAAATAAGGCTCATTTTCAACAAAAGGTACAACAGGGATTAAAAGAGTGAGTGGTTTGGCGAGGAGGTGGTCAGCATACTGGATGGTATGAAAAGTGAGGACGTTGCTCTGGAAACCATTGATGCCATCCATTCCCTGCTATCTTCCGCCAGAAAAAAAAGACAAGGAAGTAACAAACTCCGCGACAACTCGGGATATTGTAAGTTTAGCTTTAGATGGTGTTTTAGATGATAGCGATTTGGAATAGATTTTAAGTTAATGTAAGTTTTTAATGAATTTTGCGGTTGTGGTAGGTGATAAGTTTTAATGAATTTTTTATTTTTACTTAATATCGTCACCTGACGGGAAGAGCGACCTATGTCGGCAGCCAATTCGAAAACGGCCTATCTCAGAAATTATTCAAGAGCGCCCCACTTCAGAATTTGACTGAAGAACGCCCTATTTCAGAATTTTATTAAAAAACACCCTATCTCAGAATTCGGCTCAAAAACGCCCTATCTCAGCTGGAAATACATTGAAAATGTACTGAGATGGGGTGTTTTTGAATCGCCAGCTGAGATAGGGTGTTTTTTTAATAAAATTCTGAAATAAGGCGTTCTTCAATCAAATTCTGAAGTAGGGCGTTCTTCAAAAGTTTTCTGAGATAGGGCGTTTTCGAATTGCCTGCAGAGATAGGTCGATCTTCCACTTAGGTGACGATATATTTATGTATATAAAATGTGATTTAGTGTTTAAAACGAAAAAATTTATTTAAGTTAATATTGAATTGGTTTTTTTAAATTTCAGTACCTGTTTTATTTTTACGTTTTAATAAATATTTATTGAATTGACTTTAATATTTAATTTAATTTATTTCATTAAAACATATAAGGTAAAGATGGTTAAAAGGTCTATGTCACTTGTTTTTATATTTGGTGTTCACTCCTTAACCTCACTCCTTAACTTTGACTTCAAGAAAACTTAACACTTAAATTTTTTTTAATTACCTTTAAATATAAGCGACTTAAACGTTTCCGAATTGCTCTGCAAACTTTTGGGATGCAATAAACCAAGAATGAATGGGACAGTCTCGTTTGAAATGCTAAACTGCGATAAGTTTCGCCGGTTGCTAAATACCGAAGCGTAACCGCTAACTGTTCCTCTGGCGAAATGGCGTTTCTAGCATTTGTTACACATTTTTCTATGTCGCACCTAATCAAATTTAAAATTTGGTCAAATTGTCCATCTGATATCCTGACATAGTTCTTAAATGACCACAAATCTTCATTTTTAAGATGTCTATGAAGAAATGCATACGATCCTTCAGAATCTCTAGTTTGACGCCATATAACTGCGCGGCAAGATCTGGTGCGTCTAATATTTCCGAGCATCAACAAAGATTCAATGAGTTTATTCCACACATTATAACATTTCTTTGATTTTCTGTCCAGAATATAACACTATTTGCATATTGTTTTAACATACATATAATACCGTATACTTCGTTATCCATTTTTAACGCTTTTTATGTTTCCTACGTGCATATCTACACAATTTCTATCGAACGTTGCCAGTAAAACCAAAAGCATTATTAATATGCAACCCTGCAGCAAACTACCGAAGGTTGCCAATAAAAACAAAGCTATTAAGAAAATGCAAACTGTGGCAAACTCGACGTAACCACCTCACACCCAACAGAGGCAGCCGCCATATTGTTTGCCAATCAAAACTCCGTCTGCATAACACCGACCTTACAAATCGGAATGTTAAATCATACACCAATACGGTGGCACAATGCAGCAAGAGCAACAAACTTGGTTGTTGATTCACCTAGCAATAAGGTGGCACAATGAAGCAGGAACCGACTTCCAACTTGCTGTTGGGATGTTGAATCCCCAGGCACTATGGTGCTATGTTCCACCAGGAACAGAACAGTGTAAAGCTGGTTGAGGACAAGCACAACATTTAATAGAAAATGAATAAATTATATGCATGTACATACATACTTACAAATCGCAATGTTGAATTACAAACCAATTTGGTGGTACGTTGCAGCAGGAACAGCAGCAAGGCGCTTTTTGAATGCTCTTTAGTCTTTATTCGGGGCTAGTTAAGGAAAAAGTATTACTTTAACCAAAAATATCGAAAATATAATACAGATAACTTACCAACGCAACTAAAAGTTCCGAAAATTTTACGCAATTTAGTGAGAACGCAGGCGAATGTCAAAGTAAAAAAGGAAACAGAGAAACAGTGTTGCCTACACTATATTTCTTATTGGAAACACAAATAGGAACTAAAAATAGAGTAAGCAACATTGTAATTTATGATGGCGAATTTTGTCAAATTCGACGCCATATTGGATTACTGATATCACCTTATTTTTATTTCACCATGAGTCCAAGTATGGAAAGCGCCATTTTGTTTGTTTACAGCTGAGATCACCTGATTTTCAATTCTCTCATTCTCCGCACAGAGTTACATTCAAGTTTCAGAAAAAACTTTAAAATCTAAATTGAGAAATATTTTAGAAAAATGTGTTTTTATTCATTTGAATTCATTAAAAAAGAAATTAAAAATGCATGCCAAGTCTTGCATTTCCAATAATAACGATAAATGTGTATGTATCAGGCAATAATTTAAAATATTTGTGAAACTTATCGTTTTGCGCTAAAATACAACAATGTGTGTAAAATTCGTTGTCATTGTTTCTGTTTTGAATACCATATTCGTGCCTACCGGTGGAAAAAATAGGTAAATTTGCATTTATTTTTAAGAAAAAAATTAAAATGTATTTCTTTCCAGAGCGACATACGGACAAGTAAAATGATAAATTTGTATGACAAATATCGCGGAAAATCTTTTGCATCATAATTTCTATTCTAATTTGCATTTCAATTATGATATCAATAGGGATGCATTGGAATGTATTTATTGAAAACAAATTTTTTATAAGTCTTGAGATTGTTGATTTATTTTAGAATTAAAAAAGCTAGTTTATATTAAAAAATATATTTAAACTAGAAGTATGTAAACTACGTTTATTACGAATTGAAACGATTTTAATGAATATTCATGGTTACCATTAATAGTAGTATGACAGTTAGTTATAATGCATATTTGACTAGTAAGATAGAATACAAAATTGCGCCGTCCTGGCGGCGATGACATATCTGTACGAAAAGTAAACAAAGTCGAATTGGATGTTGAAAGATGTGAGAGCAGCCAATTTTCTGAATAATAATTTTTTCGATAAGGAACGTGTTTTAATTGTGCTAATTTCTAATAGCCTTATAGAAAATAAAGTAGCTTAAAAAAAAGGTTTATAAATTGAAAAATTTAAAAAGCTTTTTAAAATTTTTATATTTTATGAATGAGGCGATAAAAATATATGATTTACAATACGAAAAAAGGTAATATTTGGGTATTAGTGAATTTCAGTGCATTTAAAGTTTCTGAGGTTTCGTTTACTCTTAGATCCGAATTGTCAAAATAGAGAAATTTAAAGTAGCAGTACAATAATCGTAGAAAAGAAGATTGCGCCCTGAATGTTCTGGTGTCTTTTTCGGTTTCGGTTTAACAGCCAGCTGCTGTGATGATGTGGAAATTTACCACAATGAAGAAAAATATGACAATTAAGTGAAAAAATTTAATTTTTACAAATTAAGTGAGCAGTAGCGCGTTTCAAGAACGATATTTCGCACAAATCGTTAATGAACAACCATTTTTCCTTCCCGTCTGCTTTGTTTTTTGCAAAAGAGTTGTTTAGTTCCTGCCGGCGATCAAGTCATTTCAACCACAAAATACTATTATTTGAAAGAACCATTCACTAAAATTGTAACTAACTTTTTATTTATTAATTCCTTTTTGATATTCAGCAATAGCAAGATGGAACAAAATTATAAACCAAAATTAGTAATATTTTTATGAATGTAAAATATTTACTAATTTAGTTATAAAAGTTCACAGAAGAAACGCCGGAAAACAATGTATTGGCAACGACATAAAATGTATGGCAATTTAGATGTCAATAGAATAATAACTGTGATAAAAAATCATGAGAGAAGTGTGCCAAGGAGGAAATATTTTCAATTTGAACAAAAAAAAGCTTTAAATTAGAGCTCGGGCAATTCGGTTAATCGATTAACCGAATTATTCGAATCTGACTGAAGTCGACTACTGTTAATCGGTTAGCAATATTCGAGTAGTCGAAAGCTGTCGACTATTCGGATAACCGTTCACTTTAGATTATTCGGCTAACCGTTCATTTTCGGTTAATCGAATATTTTAAGTTCGAGTTTTTTTTTGCATTTACAGATACATATACATATATGAAAAGTCTTGTTACATTCGTAGTACATATATAAGATTGCATGTGCAAAATTAAGGCAAACTTTTTTTGCAAGAATGTGCGCTAATTATTGAAATGTTATTGCGAAATATTTTAGAGACAATGGCTAAAGCAATACCTACCTCTCATTTTCGCGAGCTTTTGTTATGGATTTTTGTTAAATGTTTGTTCAGTGAGGATGTGGATGATTGTAGCACAAAACTGCACCACATATGGAACATGTTACTTCCTTTTCGTCCTCTGATTTTTCGAAAAAATCCCAAACCCAGCTCCTTTTGCGTCCGCTCATTTTTGTATCTGAATATACATATGTGTGCATGTATATATTTAAAAAAAAATTTTTCATTTGTCAAAGAAGTTTCAATGAAAGTTCGGTTACTGAAATTCGATTTTCTACAATGCTCGAGTAGTCGAAGCAAAGCAACTATTCGAATAATGGAAGGCGGGCGACTATTCGAATACCATTAACCGACTAATAAGCATGCGAACGGTTACGAATCGAATAATCGGTTAACCGATTAGTCGAATAGTCGGATAATTTTACGAGCCCTACTTTAAATGCCGTTGTAAAACGGTGAACAAATTTCTTATAAAATATTTTGATTTTTACCATGATAAAAACAACACCGTTTGCCAACAATATAATTTAAAAATTTGAACTCAAGCTCACACACACATTCTCATTTTTAATCTCAAACAACAACAATTGTGAACAATTCCATTTTTTTATTTTCAATTTTATATGATTTTAAAATGTTTGCAAACGTCAGAAAAAAATCATGGCCGACGAATTGAGAGAATGCTTTTACCTTCTAATGTTTTTATCATGATTTTTACTGGGCGTAATTGAATCTCAGTCAAATGAGTATTAAGGAAAAGAAAAATTTGAGAATAATAAACAGAAAGAGAGATGGGTGCACAAAAAGTTAAGTTAAATATTATGCCAAAATTCTTAAAAAGTAACCAAATCGATTTTGTTTAATGTTACCGTATAGAGCTCTTTAAATCCAATTTATTTTTTATGAATAAAGGCGCTGGCCCAATGCAGGCTTGCTTTGCACGCCTTGCTGACTTCAATTTGCTTTGATTTACTTTGAAAACGTGCTTGGCCGAATGGTGGCTTGGAACGCTGTCAAAGTAACCAGCTGTCTGGTTGAAAAGTCAATGTCAGTTCCCTTAACGTTAATAATCATTTCCTAGAAAACTCTAGAAAATGTATGAAAAACTTTCAGATTTATTTTTAAATTAATGCGAAATAATGTTTGTATTTAAAAGAAATTATAATAATGATACATACATATCTATATCTACATTTACTAAAAAAAAACTATAACTTAAAAAAGCGATTTACTTGAAGAAGAAGTTTTTTCCTCTCGTGTAAAATTTGTAATAGTGGGCTTTGCAACTTTTTACTATAAGATAACGATATGTTAAATATAAATATGGAAACAATGAATCATTTTTATTTCATTTCGAATTACCTGCATTTTCTGTGACTTTTTTAAATTAAGTAAGCAAATTTTTGTTTGAATTTATGTATTTAGAGAGGAACATACCTCTTTGTCAAAAGCCTACAAAACGCTTTCAAATAAAACATTTGCCTAATTCAAACTTTGAGGCGCTTAAAGCAAGTGAAGAAAAGCTGCCATTTGGCCAGCCTTTATACGTTTTAGTATATTCGAAATAATTTTTGACACTTCTCGCAGCGAAGCAAGCAAAGCAAGCCTGCATTGGGCCAGCACCTTAAGGCAAAAGCATATACCGTTTTTATAAATAAATATTATAGCAACATGCTATATATTTATTTATACACTTTTTGGTTGGCGAAATATGTAGTTTTTTCAACTTAATAAAAAAAGCGTATTTAACCACATTAAATTTTTTTTAATATTGAATGGGGCAGCACAACAACTCTTCGTTGCACGCAACCCTTGAACACGAGCATGTCAAATATTTTTTCTGTTTCGACATTTCGCTATTTTGCATTTCTAACCACATTAAACTTTTTTTAATATTGAATGGGGCAACACAACAACTCTTTTTGTTGCACGCAACCCTTGAACACGAGCATGTCAAATATTTTTTCTGTTTCGACATTTCGCTATTTTGCATTTCTTTCATTTTGACGTCATTCGCATTGCCAGATTTTTGAAATTCGTTTTGGTTCGACATTCTGCTATTTCATAATTCTTCATTCTCATGTCATCCATCTTCCATTTCTTACCTTCCATTGCCGTTGGGATCGTCGAACGTGCCTGTCAAACACTGCCGCCATCATGCTTTTCAGTCTGGCAAATTTTTTTTTTAACTACATAAAAACTACATAAAATATTTCACACAAACAACAAAAAATATAATCGATGATCGCATGAGGCTATTGCCTGAAAATTTTAATATGCGCTTAGTGGTATTGTGCTACTATGATAGCACGGCCGGGTAATCATAGTCAACTTATGTACGGTAGTCGAACAAATTATAGCCGCACCAAATTTTCACTAGTTTTAAAATATTATTTTTGCTGGTATTTAATTTTGGTTAGTTTTTTTATAGTGCATTCTTTAAAACAGCCGTATAAATACAAGTTTAAAGGCAGCGTCACACGATTGGGTATTTTCCAAAATTTGGTGCAAATCGTATCCCAATTGTGCGAATACCCAAAATATTTTTCTTTATCCCAATCACGAAAATTAATTTGTTGAAAATTTTCAATAGAACATCGCTGTACCAATCTTTTAACTACAAAAATCAAAATTTCCCCATTTTTTTACCAATAGCCCAGTATAAAAATGTACAAATCTGTACAAATGTACCAATCGAGTGACACTGCCTTAAAAATTTACGCAATTTAAAAAAATAATTCGACAAATTTTCGTTAAAATTTAAATTTTTTTAATTA